ACTACTAGTACTACTAGTACTACTAGTACTACTCTAGTACTACTACTACTACTACTACTACTACTACTACTTCTACTACTACTACTACTACTACTGCTACTACTACTACTACTACTACTACTTCTTCTGCAACTGCAACGACTACTACTGCTATTGCTCTGCCACTGCTAGTCCCACTGCTAGTGCTACTGCTAGTGCTACTGATACAGCTACCAATCCTGCTCGTGCTCCTGCTCCTGCTACTGCGGCTACTACTGCCACTAACCGAGACGCTTGCCCTTCCCGCTGGGTTCGTGTTTCCATTCAGAGCGCAAGGTGTAGGCTGTGTAATGAAGCATGATCAAGAAGAGCACAAATCGCAAGAATTCCTAAACCAAACACAAAGTGAGAATCTGCTCTGTTCCACTCGTCTTCGCAGGCCCTCTTCGAGAAGCGCTTGGCGGCCTGCTACGGTGACGAGACCTGCCGAAAGGCCTCGTCCCGGACTTTTTCTGGACTCGGGATGTTCAGAACTTAGGCGCAATACTCGAGCAGTAGCTTCCCTGGTCCGAGCACTAACCCTGAACTCACCCGAAAATCCTAACCCTGCTCAGCCATAAGCCCCCTAAGGCCTAAACCCTCACACGACGTCATTGGAGTCTTCCACCGCAGTTCAGCGGTTTTGGGTTCGCGATTTGGGGTTTAGCGTTTGGGAAACCGGAAAACCTAAACCCTAAACCCTCAAACCTATTCCTGCTCAAAGTCCCTGGGCCTAGAATTCGAAACCCCAAACCCCTAAACCGCGAAGCCCTGTGAATTTAGGATTTAGGGGTTTCGGATTTATTGCTTAGTTTGCATCAGGACGGTTTAAGGCAACAACGACAGCCAAATCTAGAGGTACCCTAAGACAATTGTTGGCAGCACCGTGCATTCGAGAACCTCCTAAACGCTCGTGAACGTGCACCTAGGCAGTTTACAACAGCTTCCGGAACGCTTGTGAAGGTGGTGGCTGCCCAGCAGTTGGAGATCGAGCGGCAGGCCCTTCTTCCTAGGACGTTCTGGGTGGGGAAGGGCAACATCTTGCCCAGAAAGCTGCTGCTCAAAGAGTCTTGCTGACAGGTGGCCAGCGGCACGGCACCCGCTGCAGTCGTCGAGGGCCGGGAGGAGCACAAGGCTGAGAACGGTAGTGTTAAGGAGCAAAGCTCCACTTGGTTGAGCTATGTGTCTCAGCCGGCCCCTTTGCGCTGTTTATGCGTCAAGCTGCGCACATCCGAGCTTTTCAATGCTTCTGCGTCAAGCACTTTCTATATCCTGACCCCAAACCCGAAGTAAACCCTAAACCCCAAACCCTCACATGATCCCAAACCCCAGCGCACGTCAGACTTCGGACGCTGAGCTCTGAACCACATGTAACATACCGAAGTCGCCGACCTTAATAATCCCCCGGCCGCGCCTTCCTTGTCAAAAAAACCCAAGCCCCAGCACTCAAAAATCACAAAACACAGAAAATCCCAACAGTTCGGCGAGGCCGGCGAACCTCCTGTGTCCACAGGGGGATGGCTAAGGCACGGGCCGCTTTGAGTAGTTTCAACTTTTTCATTGTCTAAAGACAACAAAATGCGGGGCTTCGTGGGATTTTGTTAGGGATCTGGGCTATTCCAGGGGGTTCTGCGCGCGGACTTGGAGCTTGCGTTAGGGGTTTGCGAAGGACTGCTTATTTCGAGGTGCGTGTGGGCTTTGAGGCCTATAGCTACCCCTGAACTCTAAACCCTAAACCCCGAATCCCTAATCCGTAAAGGATCTCAGGACAAGACATGGGGCAAGGGCCAAGCCTCGGCTAAGCCGGGGAGGGTTTCAGGCTCTTTGGTTGCATGTCTCATGATTAATCTTCTTATTGTTATGCTTCGTATCATTCTTGCCATGCTTATGATGACTGTTGGACAGTTTTTTGCAGAGCTTCATAATTTCTTGTTGGGCTTCTGCCATCGGTTTGTGTCTGTTGGGACCGCTCGGCCTCAATGGACCCAGACGACTCTGGGCAGGCAGACGCTCGGTGCCGCATTCGGATACATGCATGCAGCTCGGATATGCACTTTGAAGAAGAGCTTAGGGGCTGGGAGGCTTTGCTTAGGGTTTCTGAAATGAAGGGATCCGAAGCACTTCTCTGGTTTGTCTTTCGGGGTGGAGATTTGATCAGAGATTCCTACTCCCGCGTGCTAAGGATCTCGTGTCGAAGCGACAGGAAGCCATGTGAAAGGCCCGTTGGAGCAGCAGGGCTTAGTCGTTTCACCTCGCGCAATTGATCGGAGTCGCTGAGCTCTGTGCAAAAAGGGGTGATTCTTCTCAGCTTGTACGAACCTTTCTAGATCTTTCTAGAACCGGGTATGACACCACGTCTAGATCCCTGAAACGGAGCCCTATTTGGGACACCCTTACAGTACCACCAGCAGTGACCCTGCTAGAACCTGTGCAAGTAACCCAAGGCTCTTTGTGCATCGCCAGCTAGTGCTCCGTCTCCTCCACTGCACTGGTTCTCCTGTCTTCAGCCGACTCCAGCCAAGAGGTACAGCCCTAGCATCAGTCCGGCTATTCCTTAAAGGCTCCTTACCATAACAAAAGAGTCGCATACCCGAAAACCCTGCTCGAAGTATGTAGGCCCTATGTATGCGAACCGAGGCTGAAACCGCCAAGGCCAACTAAGCCGTTGTGGTTATCTTCCGGTCCCAGAGTCTGCCACCTTAGATAGTTCTGCTGAGAGAGTAAGCTCTGTGCGTTTTCAGACTTACCTGCCTTGCCGCAGCCTGCTGTCGAACAGAAGGAAAGCTCCCCTGACTGACACCTTAGCATGCCGGATTCCTGCACCTCAAGCCGCTGCCGAAAGGCATCTCAAGCCTTTCCTTAAGTTCCCTGCCCCTGCGCACTTGAAACCATGCACGCCACAAAGCCCGAGGTTATACTACCCTGAGGCCCCTCAGAACCGCCCACACCCCGTAACCCTCCCAGAGCCCCAACCTCCTCAAACCTTCAAAGCCTTTCAGACACCCCGAAGCCCCCATGACCACGCCCGTGCCGGATGCGAGCACCTCCGACAGCGAGTCGGTGGCCCTGGCGGAGTTAGCTGGGGAGGTCGGGCAGACCGAGGGTTTGGGGCTGCTTGTGTTCGGAGCTTCGTTTGAGATGGGAGTTTTGACTGGTGGTATGGGCAGTAGAGTTGGGAGCTGCTTCATCGTGCTGGTCTGGGGTGTCCGATTAACATACTTACTTTGGGTTGTGGAATCTTTGTAGTAGGAGCCTCCAATTCACACACTTTTGTCTTGGCTTACTTTCTAAAAATAAGTTAAAGGCCTCTTGTGTGTTACGAGTAGGGACCGGCCCCCACAGTGACCCTGGACTAGAATCCAACCTTGTGCCCGAATCCAGACCTCTAAATCCCACACCGGCCCACTCAAAGTCCCCAATTCTTTAAGCCCTGAGTCCCAAGCCCTTCGAGCGCTGTGCACTGAACCCCGAACTAGCCCAACTCGAAGCTGGAAAGTTTAGAAAGCTGGCTTTCAGTCCAAGGTGAAGTCTGCGGAGAGAACAGGGACGATAGCCAAGCAAAAGGAGACTCAAACTTTATAAGCCCTAAACCATGAACCCTCGATCCGAGACCCTACATCCTGCACCCCTAAACTCTAAAAATTTCGGCCCTAAGCCCTGAAGCCGGCGCAGGGGGCTTCTCCGCCTCTGCAGAAGAGCGAGCTGAAGCGGCTCCGGAAAGCAGAGCTCAAAGAGCAGAAGAGGCTGCAAGCCAAGGAGCAGAGGCCAGAAAAAGAAGAAACTCTACAAGGTTTAGGAGTTTAGGGTTTGGGATGGTAAGCGCTGGGGGTTTACGCATTGTTTCGGGTTTCTGTTCCGCTCATAGTATCACGCACTTCAGGAAAGTCCAGGCTTTCACTCGGGGAGGTTCGGGCTTGGGGGAAGTCTGGCGTCGTTTGGACCCCCACAAAACGGTATAGATTTTGAGAGGGTGTTGAACTCTGCATCGTTGGACGCCAGACTGCAGGCAGCAGAAGAAGAAGGCCCAAAAGCAGCGCAAGCAGGAGCTGCGACAGGAACATCTGGAGTCGATGAGCGCAACTGAGCGAGCAGAGTTCCTGGAGAAGGAGCGTGAGGCTTCGGCACAGCAGGGCTGGTTCCGAGTTGGAGTTGCTGAATCCCGGATGCTTAGCTGTCCCTGCTTGTGACAGCTTCTGCATGATACGCTACCTGCACCGTTTCGGAACTTGACGACTGCTCTCCTTGCCAAGTTGTTCGCGTGTTCATTGTCGCTTCAAGCTGCAGTAGATAGAACAGAGACACTCCGGTTGAGGTTTAGGGCTAGAGGGTCTTGTGGCTTGAGCCTGCGGCGGAAGGCCGGAAGAGAGAGGAAGGCGGCCATAGAAGCGACGCTGGACTATTCTTTCCACCATGGTCGTCCTCGCATCGTCATCAACTGCAGTTTCAGTGACACGATGGACGTGCGGGAGCTCACATCTTTGGCCAAGCAGGTGCAGCTGTCCTACACGCAAGCGCGTGATTCGAACTCCAAAGCGCAACTGCACATCACGTCGCTCCATTCGCAGAATCCTGTGATTCACTCCCTGGAGAAGCAGGGCATGAAGAGCTGGAAGCTGCACCTTCACGAGGAATCTGTTTGGGATGTCTTCGCAACGGAAGCAAGGCCGGCTCGTTTCGACCATCCGCAACTAGAGGCCCCCACGGCAATCCCTAAGCTTGATTGCAGAAGCCATCGTGAGATTTCTGCAGCCCTTTTTTACCCGAAGCCCTAAACCCTTTCAACTCCTTGTCGTGAGAAGCCCTGTAGCCTTGCTTTGGGAGGGAGGGCCGCCTTGTCGTCTTGACGCCGGATGCAGAGGAGGAGCCCTTCGTCCACGGGACACAGGGTGGGGGCATTTAGTGGTGTAGCATTTAGGGTTATCTCGCCTCAAACAAGAAGCCGAATTAGCCCTAAAGATCTTGAGTCTTAAGACTTTAAGACCCCGGAAACCTTTTTCAGCGGCGCCCAATTCCAATGATGAGCGCGACCACTACACGCCAACACTGCGCAGGTCCAGGGCCCTGCAATCCAAAACATGGTAAGCTCAGACCCTCCACCTCCCGTCCCGTAAACTTCCTTTTTGCATCCGAGGCCCCGACAGGTCTTTGACCTCCAAACCGCCAGGCTGACAGTGGGTCCCCGATCCCAATTCCCAAGTGCCTAGCACACCAAAATCCTGAAGCCCCCAGCACTTTGAACAGCAATGCACAGAACCCAGGCTCGATCTCTTCGTGTGCATGTGGAAGTTTAGCATCGCCTTCATGAGCCTGAGACATGGCGTGCTCCTCCGTGCACTGCATCCACAGAACCCCTAAGCCGTACAATGCAATGTAAGATCTCCAGGAGTTGCTGGAGGTGCTGGAGGAGGAGGTGTATGTGGTCGGTGGTATCGTCGATCGCTCTGCTGCGCGGCATTGAAAATCGGGAGCTTCAGTATTGAGGGCTTTGCCTTTTGTCATGCACTGCTTCATCATTATTTGTTTTTCCGTCTTGGTCCCAGTCCTAGGCTTAGCCTTCGGCAGTCTCTTTTTGTGTTGTGTCCTTGTTCTTGCGGTAATGAAAGTGTTTATTCTAATTATTCTGACAATGGCACGTCTCTGCTTTTTTGGTCCTTTGCTTTGTTTAGTTTGCTTACATGACGGCTGGAGTTTGATCATGCAAGCCAGAACTGTCAGTTATCACAAGTTCGGTCAGGAGCAGGATGCTGATGTTGATGATTGACGATTGATGATGAGTGGTTGCGGTGTTGCTGCGGGTCTGTCTCGGTCGTGTCGTGGTGCTGGCAGCGGTGTTGTGATGACTGTTGCTGCTGGATTCCTCCTATTAAAGGTCTGAATACCTCGGAAAAGTGTACTTTTATTAGTCCCTATCTAACCGTGATACTTCTGTAGAGGTGCTGTTGTTGTTGATAACTTTTCTGCTTCTCTTCCCCCGGCCTCCCGCCGCAAGTCTCGGAGCGACTCCGGCCCTCTTAGTGGGGGCTCGGGGCTTCTGCTGAAAACCCGAACCCTTCCGCAGACCCGAAATTCCTAGATCTCGCAACCCTAAACCAAGCCCTCCAGGTGAAGAAGATGCAGAGTCGCGCGCAAGCCGTCGACCAGGGTGCCACGAAGCGCCTCGGTATCTCAGATCTGCAGTCCTCTCCTGAAGCGAATGCTTAGGATGCTTTGAGGTCTTCGGGATTCCGGGGTTTTAGAGTTTGGGATGTAGGGTCTCGAGTTTGTATGGGTTATCATAGGCCTTCAGCTCCCAAAACCACATGCCGGAAGTCCCTAAACTCGAGGCCCTTGCAGAAGAATCTCCACGGGACCGGGTATTTGTTTCCTCCAGACCTGCCATTCAAAGTGGCCCAAGTTCTACGTTCCGGAAGGCTCCGCAAGCTGCCCCTGAAGCGCTTTGGCCCAACTGGCTGCTGCCCGGTGCCTGGGTCGAAGACACGTGAATTTGGTTCACGGTTTTTTGTCGGCCAGGCGAGCTCCGGGTCTGGGCGTTCAGGCGACGACTTACTCTAGGCTGTAGGCTCCCAAGCTCTAGACAGACGTGAAGAGTTATAGCCAATGCATCATCCCAACCATAACTCAGGTGTTGAACATTGACTGCGTGGTGCCGGCCCCAGACTTGAAAAAGGCAGGCAGTAGCCGTCTGTCTAGCAGTCGCACCCATGACAGGGCTGGTGATCTGCGTGGAAGCTGTAGGAGTGGTAGGAGCAGCCGTCGTTGTCGTCGTCATAGTAGGAGCAGCAGTCTAATAGTAGCAGTAGCAGTAGCAGTAGGAGCAGGAGCAGGAGTCGGAGCAGCAGACACGAACGAACAGCATGATGAGAAAAGAGATACAGCACTTTGCTGCTGTTCTAGTCTGCGACCGGAAGCTTTCAGCATTAGCTGTAAAGTCCTGAACACTGAAACCCGAATGCCCTGAAGCGTGAAGGTTGCATTATAAGCCTTTGTAGCTTCCCGGTTCTAAGCTGGAAATGTCAGGAACCGAAGGCCCCGTCCAGCCTCTCCTCCGCTCTGTGCTGCGTTTTGGCTCATCTTGGGTCAGAGCCATGGCGCCTGACTATGCGAGCCCGAAGGACCACCAAAACCCACGGGGTTTTGGGTTCAGGGCTTCTGAGGGCCCATTTCGTGGGTGGACAGCGGTTCTCGAAAGCACTTGGAAAGGGCGGCCGCGAAAGGACGGGCTCCTGACACCCACTTTTGAAAGCACAGCCGGTTGAAAAACAACACACGCCTTGAAGAATGACGTGATAGACTTGGAGGCTCTTGGAGGTATTTGCCCTCGAAGGTTGACCTCGGCAACGAGCTCAGAAATGGCAAGCGGTGGTGGTAGCAGCAACACATGCGCTGCATTTCACAGTCGTAGCCGGACATGATTCGTCCGAATGGGCTAAGTGAGAGCTGTATCGAAGTGCAGTGGCCTTCATCATCCTAACACTTAAGACGAGGGGGGCTGAAACGGAGAAGTCCACCAGCACCGCGGCATGCCACGACAGCAGAACAACCTCGGTGTTGAAAAGTGGACAACAAGAGTCCTCAACATCACCACCAGCACCAGCACAGCAACATAGTCATCTCTAGTGTTGTTAATGGCAATTCCACAAGGTCATCGTAATTTTGATGATGACAAATGATGATGATGGTGGTGGTGGTGGTGAATATGATCACCATCATCATCACCGTCGCCCGCACGATCAACGTCGTCATCAGCATCAGCATCATCGTCACTACCATCATCAACATCATCACCAACACCACCACCATCGTCGTCAACATCATCATCACCCTCACAATCATCATCATCATCATCGTCATCATCATCATCATCATCATCGTCATCGTCATCACCGTCGTCACTGTCATCATCATCATCAACATCATCATTATCATCATCGTCATCATCAGTACTCAGTATCAGGAGTAGAAGCTAAACAAGAACCGACAACGGCAACTGCAACAACAGCGACAACTACAACGACAGCGACAGCGACGATGACGACCACGACGACAGCAACGACAACAACGATAGCACCGACAGCGGCGGCCACTGTCGCCGCCACCGCCGCCGCCAAGCCACCGCCGCCACCGCCACCGCCGATGCCACCACCGACACCACCACCAACAGCACCAGCAACATGAAGAAGGCCATCAGCAGCAACAGCGCACAGCCGCAGCATCGGTGGCAACCGTAAGTCTCAGTTCTTGAAAGCGAAAAAGCAAAGGTTAAGAGCTTCGCAGCGTCTACAGTCTAGAGTCTAGAGACTTTCAGCACCCACCATCCACCTACCACAGGGTCTTTTTAAAACCCCGAGATATTGCGAAGAGACCAGCAGGACCCCCTACAGGGCGCAGCCGTGGCTGCTGAGGACGAGGCACGTCCGCACCCTAAAGAGATCGCAAATTATGGATACCCCTAGAGCCCCAAACTTCTCGCCGTAACTGCTAAAGGCTGCAACCAGGAAGCCATGCACGTAATCATGTAGGAGTGTTTCAGGCTGTTGGAAGTGTGGCGTCTTGAACGGACAGGATTGCTTGACTAGCTTGGTATAGCTGCAGCGCAATCATCTCCCCCATGCTCCACTGTCCAGTCCTGGGTGCTAAGCTGCTTGGGCAGGATCTCCACGCAAGTGAAGTTGTTCAGAGACTCTGCGGCGGAAAGGTAGCAGCCGTGGTGCGATTCCCAGTCACTTAAATCCTCTGGAGTTCAGGGCGTCTAGAGAGTCTATGGTCCATTGTCTTGCTGACCCTTTCACCAGCATCATTCTTTCGCAGCCCCCCGGTAGAACTTCATCGGATGTTCCCGAAACTCTTGTCTGATTGTTTAGAGCTTAGACTCCTCGGTGCCTACTGCTGCCGAGGCCTTGGTCTCTTGCTGCTGGCTTGGAGTTGCTGGGGCTCTGCTCTCCTATCTCTGAGGGAGTGTGACTCAACTTCAGCAGAGTCTATGTAGGGCAAGTCGCAGGTAGCGCTGCGATGGAATGTCTCGTGGTGGTCATAAACATCCAGAGAGATGGCGGTGCCCTGAAGCGAACGAGTATCAACAAGTAGTAGTGTCATTCTTGTAATTTTGGCTAGCTATAGGTTTGTAACAGCAGGACTCTACGGGCCTCGCAGGCAGCAGGCCTTGGGATCGCCTCCAAAGCGCCCAAAGTGGCCAGCTCTTCAACTTCAACATAACGCTCAGGATGTAAAGTGTCCTTCATATCGAGGACATCTCGTGATGTGCTGAGGGCATGCCGCAGAGCTGCGGAGTAGATGAGTAGAGGGTAACATAGACTAGCAGTCGAAGGGGGATACCTTAAACCCTCGGCACTAGACCTCCCCTAAAGGTAAAGCTGAAATGTACTCCGAACGTGCCGAAGTTGTTGCGGGGAGACTTTGGGCTTTGAGGGATAGAGTCCAGTAGGGTACATTTTATAGGTAGAGGCGCTACAGGACCTGCGTGCGGACTTGGGAGTAGAATCTAGATGTGGACTTCCAGCCGCGAGTCTGCAATTGTTCGGGCGGGTTCTCTGGTTCTGCAGTGGCCCAGATGCCTGTAGACATTCGCTGCACCTGGAGCAAAAAAGGCAGCGCTTCATAGACTTTCCGTTCCATGAATTTCCAGATTGGTTTTGTAGGAACGCTACGACGCTTTTCCAATTGCCACTGTCCTCGCGAATAATTAGGCTTGTCGTCTTTGATCACAGAACGCCAAGTCAGGCTTACATTAGTGATTAGTGCCCCGTGTAAAGGTTCCCATCAGGAGAGCTGCCTACCTACATGCCTCAGGTGCGAATACTCTGCGAGTGGTTAAAAGGAGATGGCAGCTGGTGGGAGACCCAGCATCGATGCAACCAAGACAAGCTTGCACAAAGTTATCGGATGCTAAATAAGAACTGACAAGTACTGGCAGCAATCGAAGATATGCGCAGCAAGTGAATGCATGTGCATACGTGTGCATACATGTTTCTCTCTCTGTCTCTCTATCTCTCTAGCTCTCTCTCTGATCTATCTATCCATCCATCTACCTATCTATCCATCCATCGATCTTTCTATCTATATATCTATCTATGGTCTCCTATCATCGGTTAGGCTGGTCTGGGATAGGAGGGTCACATTGCTGCATGAGATCTGCAGCCTGTTCAGGACTTGTTGATGTCAGATCTTCCCGTGGCCATTTTGGGTCGAGGCAATCGCCTCGAAGGTCCGGGAAGGATCTGTTTGGTGCGACAGGAAAGCTCTAGGGCCTGGGATCTGTGCAATGGCTGGTTGGGGTCCGAACGGCTGGGAGACCCAAGTCAGGGCAAGGCTAAACGGTGGATTTGGAGGCGGATTTCACAACCCACCTCTACGAAGTTCGCCTCCCTCACTTCCGGGAGTCGATCGCCGAGTGTGAGGACAACGATCGGAAGACATCCATCATCATGGTGGATACAAGAGACGATCGCATTGTCTCGGCTTTTCAGGCCTGGTTGGTGAGAGAGATCATGACGAACTCTTCCAGTTCGACCAAGGTTCTCACTGAAAGGGATCAGCTGATGCCACCTCAGTCAGGTTTGCACCTGTCCCTCTTCGCCAACTACACCGAGTGCGGTGGTCGTACTTTCTCGGTCGGACCCAATGGAACTGTCGGAACTGTGGTCGCCGGGGATAGTGCATGCTCGCGTTTTGAGCTCCACGTCGCGGACCGCTCATCTGAGGATGTGGTCGGGAATGATGCTGACAGAGTCCTCGCGGCCGCTACGTTCAGAAGCAGCAGCTCCGCTGGGCCTGAAAAAGATCAGCAGATGTGCCGCTCGACCCCTTGCCAGGACGGTCTAAAATGTCTTCCATGCCACTCTGTGCTCTTGGCTGCTGATCAGTGAGTTCTTTCGAACGTACATGCAGGTTGTGTGCTATCTATCATCTATCTCTCTATCTAGCTAGCTGGCTGCTTAACTAGCTATCTATCCATCTATCCGTCTATCCATCTATCCATCTATCCATCTATCTATCTAGC